CCGACTGGGGCGCAGCCCGGTTCGTTGGTCACTGCATTGGAGTCGCGCCAGGAGACGTCGATGTCGCCAGATATTTTCTGTGCTCAGTGCTCTCAGCCGGGCGATCAAGCAAAGCTGACGGAATTTTACAAAACACTACATGCTCAGATATCCGATGAATCAACAAGGTACGCCTTTCGTCCTGTATGCCTGACACCCGCCGGTTGAACTGACCAATTCGCATTTGTAGGCCTACGCAGACCACATCATGATAAGTGGCAATGCTTAAGTTAGTATCTCTCTACGCCGAGACAATGTTATCCATACCCTTGCGTACGTTCGCCGTGGCCGCAATGTCGCACTTCAGATACTGAGACAGTCCAACAGCCATAGCGCGTTGTACGTTATCAGCTTAGCTCAGGAAGTCAAACCGCCGTGGACATCTATGACAGACATTCTTCGTACGTCTTGTATGTCAGCTTCAACGCGCCAGTCACTAGGTTCGCGAGTCACTAGTCAGCGCTTCAAGGTCAACTCTCTCTCACCACTACCGTCACAATAATTAAGGGTTAGGGAGAGGCAGAGCAAGCTACATCGCCAATTCTCGGTCGGCGCACAGTTGCTCGCCTTCTTTGGTCTAGGTTACTACGGTACTGTTTGCCTCTGTGGGTCCGATTAATATGATATCACATGCACCTGCTCTCCCGGTCATCGAAAAACCCCGATATTATGTTGGGGCATGCGGCAAACCGACAACTCACCACCACCTCCAGTGTGTACATTCGTCGCCGAATACGTATGAGCTTAATGCGCCTCAGACTCGATAGGCTCGAGACTCAAGAGCCCGTGCCTCATGAAGACACGTATATGTAGACCAGTGCTATTGCAAGATTTGGTTAGAACGGTCAGAGGTGGGCGCTGGTGGGTTTCTTTTGGCTTAATGTAATGAACCCCAAGACTACACTCACGACTTGACTTCAGAGCGCATCTGCGGACCACATACGATGTCTAACATGCGAAGCACCGCGCATTGCGCTTCAAGTTCATGCTTGCTGCAGTCCGATCCCTGTGTCGAATTCGGCGTCTACTAATAACGTGCCTCAAGCGTGGCGAGCATGATGTCTTCACGCTCAGTACCCACTCCCTGGTTCTGTCCTGGTCGTTCATCTTCCGTTGCGTACCACATCGCACAACGAATCACGCCATGGAATCAGACCTATCTAGCATGCCTCCTTATGCCTCATCGCCCTTTGACGACCCCGAAGCAGACGTTATCCTCCGTTCATCCGACCGTATTGACTTTCGAGTCTCTAGGTTCATCCTCAGAGTCTCCTCGGACTTCTTTGCCACTATGTTCGTGGCCGGCCAGGCCGAGAACGAGGAGAATCGAGACGGCTGTCCGATCGTCCCGATGCATGAGGATAGCGAGACTCTGGACAGTCTCTTGCGCATCATATATCCCAGGAAGGCTCCCATACTCGACGATCTTGCAAAGATTCACGCCGTCTTGGCGGCGGCGCTCAAGTTTGACATGGAGAAGCCGATTGATGTCGTGGGGGCGACTCTGTGCTCCTTCATACCGAATGAACCCCTTCGTGTCTGGGCGATCGCCGTTCGTAACAGACTGGAGCCAGAAGCACGCGCTGCCGCCGACGAGATCGTTTGTCAGGTCGACCTATCTGTCTTCAACTTCCCGCCCGAAATGCAGCATATCAGCGCCGGGGCGTACTACCGCCTTTTGCGATACCGGCGCCTGGAAGGCAAGGTAGAGCAAGAATTCAAGTTCTCCGAGCCCCCCTTGTCGCCCCGACCCACCGACTCTCCCATCTCATCGATCTCTTCGGATTATCCACATTTCATTTCGCCCAGTCATAGTCGTATCCTGTCTCTCGCGGACATCCTGTGTCGCTCATCAGATGGCCAGGAATTCCTCGCGCACAAGGCGTTCCTCGCGCTAGCATCTCCCATCATGGACGCGATGATAACCAGCCTACCTGCGCCAGCCAGTGGAGGCAGTGACTGCACGGCCGACAAGGCGGGACATCTTCCGGTTCTTTCGTTCGAGGAAGACGGTATGACGTTGAGGGTCATCCTCGGGTTGTGTTATCTGGCACTCTCGAAGGGAGGCGCTGACAGCGACTCGCAGGAGCTTCTGGTGCAGCAGAAGGTCATCGTTTCTGCAACGAAGTATGAGATGGACGATGCGATGGAGGGCCTGCGCCACCAATGGTCGCGTCTCTCCTCGTCAGATCCCTTGCGAGCGTACTTGCTCGCAGCGAACCACAGGTCAGACGCGGAGGCACGACAGGCGGCAAGGCGGCTCCTCGACCGGTCTATGAGCGACTACTATGTAGCGGCGCTGGAAGAATCTCCAGCTCTGACTTATCGTGATTTGCTGCTATTCCACCAGCGTTGCCAGTGTGTGGTGCAGCAGTGCAAAATTGAAGTTATACAGCATCTACCAGTCCCTCTGGCAACACCGATTACGGCAAACAACCCCTCACCAATACCAAAAGACTCGGAGGCAAAAAGAAGGGGAAGAAACCATATTACAGCTCAGACTCTGAACTGGAGGAAATACGTCAACCGCCCGCCGAGCAACGCACCGACGCTTTGAAGCCATTCCTCCACAACCTCGAAAACGACTGGGGTATAGCACTAGTCAACCAGATATGTGCTGTAGAGTCATGCGCTCCGCCGGACGACAAAGTCCGACTCGGATTGCTGGGTCCGTACAAGAGGCTGCGTGATAAGCTCTCGGAAGATATCACGAAGGTGAGACCTCTACATACTCTAATTGAATCGTTCGACGTCTCACGCCACTGAGTGCCATAGGCATACACGGAATGCATAGGCCTGCGATCGCAGGATGGGACGCCGGAAACCGTGTAGCGTGATGTCGTTCAAACACATACCAGACTTCGGTAAACTGTGACCGGCTCCATCCTATGCATATGTATACTATCACTGACAGCACCTTCGTAGTCTCTGCCACTCAGGATACAATGGTACAATCTGCTTACTAGTAGTATGCCGACAGTATCCCCCGTTGCTGCTCGCTAGTCACATATGTCGAAGGGCCGTTCAACGTCTGTTTGATCGTGGTACTGTGGGTAGATCGATTTGTGCAGATATCGATTCGGGCGTGCCAGAAGAGCCGGTGTGCGGTACAGAATCGCACCGCAGAAGGCGTCTCAGAAGTCCACTTAGGGCTGTACTGCCTCCCATCGCGTTCACGTCTCGAGTCTTCATGCTGCGAATCATGCTGAACTTCATCTTCAGCCGGCAGAGAGCGAAGATCAGGCGCATTTGTCACACGCAGCCGCAACTCGAATGAAGTCGTCGATAGACGGGCCTTCGGGCTGAAGACATCACCCTCCCTTGCCAGTGAAGTCCTAACTATCTGGTTAGAAGTACCCAGCAAGTTTATTCTCAGCCGTGTTCGTTCGTTGCATTTGAGGTACGACTACATCGTGAGATGATACAACGCATTACTTCGGTAAGACTGCCCGATTCTACTCATGTACATCCTACAGGGGTATCGTTTCGGAGACGACCGCTCAGGCAGTCGGGTCGTTAAACTGTTGTTGAGTTTGGCCCTGGTCATGGCGCAGATTACCTGAACAGTAGGTGAGTACGATGCCACTTATCCATCATGCTAGAACACTCACCAGCAATCTCTTGTTGACGGTCGCCCGTGATCGCGCCAACGACGGCGTCCTTCTTCCCGCCGAGGCGGTCGATGGTGCCCTCGGCATACTGCTTTGCCTGGGCAGCCTGGTATTCGGCCTCGCCCTGGGCGTGCTCCTCCTTCCCGGATTGCCTCCAGGATTGGGCGCCGGTGAGGTCGCCGACCGTCTCGACGACAGTTCCCTTCAAGGAGTGGTACTGTCCGGTGGTCTTGCTACACATGATCTCGTCAGTATGGTGTGGATGTGTCTGGAAGGCCACACGACTTACTTGGGCTCGGCGGCGTTGTTGCCAGTGTTGGTCTGAGAGTCGGACATGATAATTCGAGGTATGGGAGAGTTTGAGTGATTTGGTGAAGGGTATGTGAGACTAATGGGTCCTCGAACGATGGCTGCCCGCTCTTATGTACTGCGACGAGGGTCTGACATTGGCGCTGTTGCACAGCATAAGAGAGCACCAAGTCGCGTCATTTGGCGGAGCTTCGTCGTTGTTTGCGACCCAGCCTGCCGGCCTGTGATTCTGGGTATTTCTCTGAAGTGACGCATTTTACACCACTTACCTTTCCCAGCTGGCAGCCCGTCGGGATGGCCCTGAGAGAGCCAGGACGGCTTGACAGCAAGACGTCATCGAGGCTCGTCCGACACTGACGTCATGTGGCGGGCGCAAGGCGAGCGTCCGCGCGAGATCGAATCTCGCGATTTGCTTCCTCTGCGACGCGTGACGTCATTTTGCGCAAGACGCGCTGCCAACCGAGACGCGTCGCCCGTCATGCCAACTTGACGTGGAATGGTCTTGCTCTCCTCGACCTCTTTATAAGAACGACACCTGCGATGTCGCCTTCTCGAACTTGAATACGACCCCCATCATACCCACACAACTCGTTCACCGTTATGTCTGGCAACAGCAGTGAGCCCAGGTGCGTGATCGCGTACGTTCATTCAGTTTGAGCACTCTGACGCGCATGCACCCACTTGTAGCAAGACATCTGGTCAATTTCATTCGCTGAAAGGCACCATCAACGAGACCATCGGCGATCTCACCGGCCTTCAGTCTTGGAAGCAGTCGGGCAAGGAGGAGCACGGGCAAGGCGAAGCCGAATACCAGGCGGCACAGGCGAAGGGCTATGCGGAGGGAACAGTTGACAGGCTCGGCGGAAAGAAAGATGCTGTGGTGGGAGCTTTGACTGGCGACCGCCAACAGGAGGCTTCCGGTGCGTGTGTCTTTTCGACTTACAGAACGCAATCTGACGACCCCCTTGAAGGCAGTGTTCGTCAAGACAAAGGCCAGACCCAGCAGGACTTCAACTCATGAGTTCCAATGCCTTGTGCGATGGCGTCATGGTGTACGATATATACGAAGGGTGGTGTCAATGAGCGCGTCTGATTCGTAGTCATTGTCCACAATTCACCGACGGCCGTTCTGGAATCGACAGTCAGGCAGAATGAAGATATGCACATGTTCAGCGACATGCCAATCAAAGAGCATATTGTCCGTCGACGAATCCAATTTGTGCAGTTGAATCACAGGCATCCGGTACGTGACTAGCTAAACGGGAAAGTTCCTTGTTGTGTTGAGATGACTCGAGACGATCAATACAAGCGGCCAGTGTACCGTACGCTGTCACCCATCCAACCTGCAGCATTCATACGATCCCCGGGCCGGAATTCGGCCATCGCGTGGATTGACTTACTACGGCCTGGGGCCTTCCGCATCTTCGTCGTACCTCGTATAGTATGTAATCCGAACATGCCTGCGGAATGATCAATGATCAGACCTTGTATATGCCATGCTGGTCCACGTACTTGGTTGATTTTGTCGATCAGTTGGCCATACAGCGCCTTGTACAGCGTCCGGATTGCCGACTGGTCTTGATCATCCGGGGGCGGTGTCGGAAGCCAGGTCGATTTGGATGAGACCGACAGATCCTTTTGTTGTTGTTGATTCCCTTTATTGTCACTGAGGGCGAAGCCCTATGTAGACAGTACATACTTTACTCGGAACTTATCTCGTCTCGTCTAGTCTGGGGTCGCTGAGCATCGCCGTTCGCCGAAGCTGCAGGCAGGTATAGTAGTGTGTGGTGTAGGTAGGCGTGTGTGTGGCTACTAGGTTGAGTCGGTGCAATCGAGTGGAGTGAAAATGGTTTCGTCACGGATCGTGTGTCGCTCGTCAGCGTGATCGGATCGCGTCCTCCTTCATGGTCTCTTTCTTCGGCTCTAGGTCTCCGTGCTCGGCCGCGGAGCGGTCGGTATCGCAGTTCGTGTGTCGCTCGTCAGCGCGTCCGGGTCGTGTCCTCCTTCGCGGTCTCCTCCTTCAACTCTAGGTCTCCGTACGCGGCCGCGAAGCGGCCAGTGTTGTGTATGTATCGGAATAAGGGTTTCATGGTGCTCGCTGAATTGAGTAGATCTTTAATAGATCGGGCTGCAGGGCCTGCTTCGCGTGCAAGTTGGTCTCGCTGTTCATTGAAGGCCGGGCACTCCATGAGGAAGTGATACACCGTCTCGCGCGCGGTCCTGCAAGACGGGCATACAGGTGTGTCCTCCTTCTGGATCCTAAATAGAAATTTCTGCAGCGGAACATGTTCGGTACGTAGTTGAATCAAGATGCTCGCCTGTTTCCGCGGTAGTCGCTCTGCGAGTTTGTTGTACTTCCTCGACGGCATTTCTGGGTCTATTCTGTCCATCTTCGCTGCCCTTGGGGACGCCTTCCACTCCTCCTTCGCCATGCGCCCTAATCTTTCGTTCTGCGTCTGTCTGACACTGGACAGGCTCGCGGGGAGAGTCTTCTTCAGCCAGTCCGGGAGGTCCTCGACCGGACTACTATCTCCTCGCGCCGCCTTCTTTGCCTCCACATCCGCCAACTCGTTGCCGTCGATCCCCTTGTGTCCTGGTACCCATCTCAGGGTGAGGTCTATGTTCGGGTGACGTCTCTCGAGCCTTCCTATTGCTTGCAGGAGCTGATCTATCATGTAGTGTGCCGGGTGCGGTTTACGATTCTTCGCTGCGTGTAGGCTCGCCAGGTTATCCGCGGCCGCGGACGCTCGTGTGCAAGATAGCTCCCGGTGGAGGAGTACAACCCCGAGGTTGAGGCCGATGATCTCGCCTTCATATACGGTGTGTTTTGTCGACGGGCCGAGATGGTATCGGAGGACCTTGGGCACTCCGCCCGGTATGATCAGGACGGCCGCAGCGCCGACTCCCTCGTCTATGTCCGACCCATCTGAATAGACTCTCCATCCATCCTTCCTCGCCCATACCAGTTCCTCGGCTGCTGCGTCCTCTTTCGATGGTGCTATTGATACCCGGAATGGGGGTCGCCAGCTTGGTGGGAGGCGTACCGCCTCGATCGTCTCAATCTCCTCGGGGTCGAGTTCAAATGCTCCGAGTATCTCGTGGAGGGGGCTTCGGTGTTTTTTGACCCATCTCGAGGCTTGCTTGACATGTCGGTGGAGTGGGTGAGAGGTGGGTAGAGTGCATAACCTAGAAGCTTCGTGCATTATCATTTTGTCCACTAACAGGTGAAACGGAAGCAGATTCAAATGCGCAGTCATGGAGTCGGTGGGCGTCGAGCGCATTGCGCCCGATATCATCAGGCAAGCTTGTCTGTGGACACGTTCCAGCTTACGAATTACTCCAACAGATCCGTAGCGTCGCTTTCTGCCCTCCATCTGCCTCTGTGGGACAATCCATACGCTGCAGCATAAAGCATGGCAGGGATGAGCATCTGAAGATACAGGGACTTCACGTGTCTCATGGGGATCCCGTGTTTCGGACGCGCGAGGCGGCCGAATTGTAGCAGCCATGTAGTGCCCTTCTTCAGGGCGTACTCGGCCTGCTTTTTGAATCGCAGCTTTCGATCTATCCAGACTCCTAGGAACTTCGCGTCCTCGGAGGGCTGTACCGACCCATCTGACAGGTCTAGCGATGGACCCAAGTCCTCTTTTGCGAGTCTCGGGTCAGCGTGTAGAAGACACAGCTTCGAGATTTCGAAGCGGGAGTTCCGTGTCTTGGACCACTCCTTCGCGCCGCCTGTGCGTTCCATGTAGTTCCGTAGCTTCGTACAGGTCTCGTCCAGGTCCTTTCCCACTACAACCGTAGCCACATCATCAATGAAACCGAGCGCCAGCTCGCCTCTCTTCTTGTCAGCGCATTCCAGCAAGACGAGGTTGTAGATCTTATATAACAAAACTGAGAGCGGGCAGCCTTGGTCGATTCCGCTCAGAATCTCGAATAAGTCGGATACGAAGTCATCAAACGTCAAGCGCGTCTTGCGCCCTTTGAGCTTCTCGCGAAGCCAATCTACCACCGCAGCGGGTACGCCGCGCATCCGAAGCTCGTGAAAGAGTCGTTCCGGGATGGCGCTAGGGAACGCCGCCTCGACGTCAAGAAACAGGACTGAGGCGACCTTTTTGGTTCGCCATGCATCCCGGATTGTTTTGGTCAGGAGATGTAGTGAGTCAGTCGTCGTACGACCCGCCCGGCCTCCGAAGTGGAGGTTAGGGAACAAGTTGAGCTTCTCCAGCTCATATTCCACTGTCTCGGCGACACATGAAGATAGAATCTTCGCCATGCAGCTCATGAGAGCAATAGGCCGGTATGCCTTAGCAACAGAGTAATCACTCTTCCCGGGTTTCCGCAGTACCACTGTCGTGGACAGCTTCCACTCCTCGGGGTAATACCGTAGATCAAACGTAGCACGGAAGAGGCAGCCGAGTATGGGGACCAATAGATCTGCGCACCGTTTGTATACCTCATTTGGTATTCCATCTGGGCCCGGCGCCTTGAACTCCTTTAGTCGATGGCACGCCGCATGGACCTGTTGGTCTGAGACGTGTGCAAACTCGAAAGCGGCGGGAGGGTAATCCTCGGTGTCTGGGTCCGGGAGCTCGAGGTCGGGTGGAGGCTGCGGGAAGAATGTCTCGTACAGGACTCGACTTTTCGCTTCATTCCCGCGTTCGAGCCGGGCGCTGCCTGGGCGATGTAGCGGGGGCACCCGGCTCTTGCTTCCGTCTGTTGATCCGGCGCGGATGTACTTGCCTACGGTCCAGATCGATTTTGCGTCCGCTTCTTCGAGCCATGCGTCCCAGTGCGCTTTCTTGGCTGTGCGCACCTGGTCGCCATATCTGTTTCGAAGTTGCCGGTACTCCCTATGGATGGGATGGTTTGGGAACTCGCGCTGCTTGAACGCGCGGCGTCCCTGCCGTCCGACTTCCCTCCGCAGCTTGTCCAGCTCCTTCGAGTACCACCGCTTAGCAAACGGTGGCGGTTTCGTCTCCGGTACTGTCTCCTGAATAGTTTCAGTGAGCGTAGTCATGAGCGTGGCTAGTAGTTCGTCAAAACTCTCCTTGGATTCCATTCGTCTGTCTGGTACCGGCACGTCCTCGAGTCGTATGGCAAGCTCTGTTCTGAACTCGTTCCAGTCCACCTTCCTGAAGTTTCGAAACTTCCGGGGTATCGCCCTAGGGACGTCGAGTAGGAACGTAGTGCGAATGGGGAAGTGGTCGGTGTGGGGTGGGCGTATGTCCGGGGCAACCTCGCATGATATTAGGCAATCCTTCAGCCCCTCTGTTGCGAAGACGTTGTCTGGGCGTGTGAGGTTCTTTGTGCGTGAAGCCTCG